AGCTTGTGGGGAACACATATACCCTAGTTGATTCTCTCATCTTGATAACACCCAAATTTGACTTTTGTTTACTAATTAGTTACTCAATTCTTACAATTTGTTTTACAAGATCCCCCCCCCCCTTTAATTACTAGTTTCTAGAAGCAATTTGACTAAACGAATATAATTATTGGTTAAAGTTAAGTTTAAACCATTTTCCTCGTGGGATCGACCCCAACCTACAAGTTGGGTTCTTTACTTGACAACGATCGATTATGATGGTGTCCATAGATCCCAGGTAATCCCCTAAACTTTACCAAGTGTAAGAGTGATCTATGGTCCCAATCTACGGACCGTAGATCGAACCACGGACCGTAGATGGGGTCTCGTGGGTCCAAAATCCTAATTCTGTCTAACCTGACCCGGACCCCCTTATTTAAAATCTCCCAATTTTAAATCATTCCAGTTCCCAACATTTACCCCCAAACCATTTCATAACTTCCCAAACTCATTAAATCACTCCCCTATATCGCTCCATAACTCCCCAATAAAATCATCCCTTCCATTCCCCCATTATTCCCACGATCCCTTTCCATTCCAAATATTACTCATTCCATATTCCACAAAAGGGTCCGGTGTTTGGGTTAGTAACGAAGAGGTGGCTTTTGGCCTCGAAAGCATCTGTCATCACACAATCACCCCATTCCCGTTGCTATAAGGTAATAGACTTTCTCTTCACTTTGAATTTCGATTCATTGATAGGTTAAAGAAAGTCAGGGATTGGGTCTTGACCTTGGGTAATTGTTAGATGAAATTGCATGATAAAATTGGAAGTTACAATACCCTTGGAACGATAGATAGTGATTGTGTTGCCTTGTTGTATGTGATTATAAGTCTAAATGTAAGTTTCGACTTAGGTTTCCAAAGTTTGTCTTAAACACTGGTTAAAATGATTAATCGGAGTCCTAAGAATGACAAACTAACATGATTAAATGTTGAAATGCATGGTTAGACTAGGATGTTGTTGAAAATGGTCTAAGATGTGGGCTTGAAAATAAACAATGGCTGAAACCTGGAACAGGTCACATCTACGATACCCCATCTACGGACCGTAGATTAGGTTCGTGGGTGGATGCACTTGAAAACTTCACCAAGTGTGAAACCACGAATATGGACTACGGTCCGTAGATCAATCTATGGACCGTTCTGTACATCCGTGGTTTCCATCTGCGACCAATATTGTTGGTCCTCTGATCCACGGAAGGGTTCCACGGACCGTAGATCAGTCTACGGACCACAGGTCCCATTCGTGGATGACTACTGTAGCCACTATCTGAAATTTTTTTGGGTCTTTGTTACTGTTTTTTTTTAGTTCTATAATTTTTCCGAGTGTGTTTATAGTTAGTTTTGGCACTAATATCGCTTCCACATGTACGATGGAACCCAAGAAGCTAGTCACCTACTCAAAATAGGGCAAGTCAAAATCTGTGGCTCCTAGCTTCAGATTAATCGATGAGGACATGGACACAAAAAAAGATCCAGCATACGTTCCTCCAAACACAAGGACTTCTCCCACTGCACCCAGAGCCACCCCCCGGAAGGTGATTCCTGACGTAGTCACTGTCTCCCAGTCTGATGAGTAGCACTGATCGGGTCACCAACTGGGGCTGCTTCCAGTTCAGCTACTGCGTCTACCTCTGGCTTTGAGTCTGCCCATGCTTCGGGCTCTGAGTCTAGCCATGTTTCAGGGTCCGAGTCTGCCCATGCTTCGGGGTCCAATGCCAAGTCAGCTACAGGGTTCGGCCAAAATGAACAAGCAGCTTCATCTGATGAGGCCACTAGCTCAGAGTCAGTACCCGTACCAAAGAATGAGGACCCTACTCCAGTGGCCGATGAGCCAAACATGTGTTGTGTTGAGGGCCAATGGCAAATCTATCGGGATGCCAAGATGAAAATGACAAAGAGAAGATGGCCCGACTTATTACAGAGGAGCGCAGAGTCCTCACAAGGAGCTTGCACACTGTCTCCAACATCCACCGGCTTTTTAACCTTCACAAGTGTGACTGGATGGTTCGAGACGCAGGGACTTATAGTGAGGAGATTGTACGAGAGTTCTACGCCGCATATCCCGCCATTCTCCGCGGTTCGATCTCTAAGCAGTCAAAGCCCATAGCCCAGGACTCTCTCACTTCCACTATGGTCCGAGGTTGTCCGGTGGACATATCACCTGCCACCATCAGCCTCTTTCTCTATGGTCCTACCACGAGTCACTCTTGGTCACTAAACACAGCGGAGTTTGATTACTGATTGGACATCGTGCAGAGTGGTGCTTTCCAGAGAAATGCTGAGCAGTGAGAGACTGTTATACTATGGCTGGCTAAGTACATTGTTGCAGGTGGCGAGCGTGTGGAGTGGGTCGCCACACCACGGTTGGGTATCCGAAAGGCCACATTAAATTTTGTGGCCAAGTTCTTCTGGTTGTTGATGCGTAATAGGGTGTCGCCTACAAAAGCCGACAACCAACTCACATGGGACAGAGCGGTCATGGTTGTAGCATTAGTAGCAGGACTGGAGATTGACTTTGCCCGCATGCTGCTGGCAGAGATTCACGAGAGGGCATTCAAGACCTCCACTACTTACCCCTTTCCATGTTTGATTTTCCAATTGTGCAGGGACTCTGGAGTGCTGATCTAGCATTGTGATAGGTTGATTCATCCTACAGGGACTTTGGATATAGGCCTCATTCGAGATGAGGCAAATGTGGTGGCACCTCGCAGAGAGCCCCAGGTTGAGGTGCCTCCCTTTGGCGTAGATCATGCAGACACGGTGGGGCAAGCACAGGACAATGACCCCATTATACCAGATCACACCGATACTGTCCCGGCCTCCTCTTCCTAGGCCGTCAGTAGGGTGCCTAGCTCATCCCGGTCCACACCACCATTAGGAGCTGTTGTTGTCCCGTTTGTAAGAGTACAAAAATTAGAGGCTCAGATGGCAACACTGTTGCATCACATCCAGCCTTGGATGCAAAAGTCGATAGCCGAGTCTGAGGCCAGAATGGAGTGAAGGATGGAGGTCATGATGGACCGGAAGATCCAGGCCATTAATAAGTGTCTTGATGCCTTTGAATTGCGAGTCCTCGAGCGACCAACCCCGGCCATAGATCTATCCTCTTTTCAGGCTGAGTTAGCCAGTCTCCGGGACGACGTTAATGCCATTCTTTCCACCCCTACAGTTGAGCCTCAAGCTTCACCCACTGCGTTGGCCGATGATATGGTGCTGGATGCTTTATTCAGTGGGACCACCAAGGAGGGGCCTGATCCTACACATACCAAAGGTAAGAGACACCATTCTAGTCGCACTGAGGAGGAAAAATTCCAAAAGAGACAACGTAGGCAGGAGAAGGAGGCTAGGAAGGCTTTGGATTTAGATGAAGAGTTGCGCCATCGGAAGGTGCGTGAGAGTGTTGCAGGGGCATCGAGTTCTGCCCCAGTTGTAGAGGTCCCGCTGGTTGTGAGGGATGTTGTAAGCAACACTAATGGTGTGGTTAGAGTGACCAAGAGCACTACTAATGGTGCTATGATGGATGATGTGGGCACTACTGAGGTTGACCCAACTATTGTTCCAGCGGACTCCGGGAAATCGAACCCACCTTTTGCTATTTTTGTATGCATTGGGGACAATCACATCTATTTTTGTTGGGGGTGGGGTAAATGGATTGTGAGTGATAGGGTGAAGTGTGAGTAACCCAACTCATAAATCCTCTCTTGGGGTTTTCTTGCCTGTGTTCTTTTTTCCCAAGAGACTGTTTAATTTCTGTTGAACCGACATGTGTTAGGATCATATGTGTAAAAACATGAAAAATAATAAAGCATGATGGCTTATGAAAAAAATGATACCCGTCCAAATTTTGTGATGTGTGCTAGAATGTGTAGGCTAAAGATAAGTTGAATGTGTTGACTTTGAGTATGACATGATAATAACCAACTTAATGGCATGACTTAAGCTAAAAATTGAACTGAGTAATATGATAATCTGATAACGAAACTATGTGCCAAGAGTGTGTGGGAATAGTTGATTGTTCAAACAGTTTTTGTGCAAAACTAGAACTTGCCCGGTTAGTCCTGCTAAGACAATTCAATCTAGAAGTTAGGAAGTGATCATAGGCCATTGTTCTGAAAAGTCCACAAATCGCCTAAAAGAAGGATCCAACCAAATGAAACAAATGCTCCCTTTGATCCAAATACTTTGAGCCTAAATTA